GTGACATGGTGGATTGAGATCGATCTCGAGCGTGAGCTCAGCGCTGGTGCGCGTTCCCTGGCTTGCAGCGCTGGACCAGTGCATCCTGTGACGCCGAGTGTGGGCTCTTTGCGTTCGTCTCGTCATGACCTTTCCAGGATGCCCAAGATCGTGGAAATTGTCAAATTCAAACCAAAGTTACGTCTAATTCTAGTTTCAGATTTTGTGGTTGCGTGGGCTTGTATAAATTTTAACCGGACAGTAAAGGGATAAAGGCGACCACCTGTCCAATACTCCCAGAACATCACTGCAACCAAGACCAAGGGATGTTATTCCCAGTCAAATGACCCTGGTTACAGAGACCACGTTTTGAAGGTGCCTTGAGCGGTCGTCTTAAGACAGGTTTGACTGTAATATTGAGATGTAAAACAAAGGAAAGGGGCACAGTTAAGAGTGTCTGTATTTTAAAAGATCATCAGAAATAGAGAGGTTGCGCACTACAAGTAAAGTTGAGCTACTTTACGTGAGCGGGCGGGAAAACCCGTGAATCCGCGAGTGTGCACTCCGCTAACGGAGAGTTTATGGGGTTTATGGGGTTTCTCGGCACTTGTGCCAGTGGTTGTGAAACGTATCCACTCACCCCCGCCGTTAGGCACTGCATCTGCCGCTAAGGTTTACCGGGTGTTAGCGGCCGTCGTGAGTTCCCTTTGGAAACGGACACGATAATTCACTCTTTTTTAAACCTACGGAGAGTTGTCTACGTCGACACACACAAACAAGTGCTCGCTCTAGCCTACCTTGAGCGGATCGCCTCCGCAGCACATCTTCGGCGTCCATCGGGTTAGGAGCACTGGCTGCGAGTGGGTCAGGTGTCTTCATGTCTGCATCGATGCTAGCCGAACGATCTAACAGAAATACCAGCATCAGCAACAGCAGTATAAGAAGCAGCAGCAGGAACAGCAGCATTAGCAACAGCAGCATAAGCAGCATTAGCAACAGCAGCAGCAGCATTAGCAAAAGCAGCAGCAGCATTAGCAACAGCAGCAGCATAAGCAGCAGCAGCAGCAGCAGCAGCAGCAGGAACAGCAGCAACACCAGCAGCAACCAACATCAATGCAAGATTCACACGAGCGCACACGTCACCAGCGAACATCTACACATACCATACAGGGCATGCGCTAAGGATTAAAATATGCTCTGACACAATGTCCTGCCAGTTGCAAAAATGTCCGGACATGTCCGCACATGCAACTTTCACATCAAATCACACAATGTTCAGTCTAGAATTAATACCATCGAAATGTCATCACGACGATGCATTTCAGAAGCAGCATGATCTTTGAAGGCTGACGTTTTCAGGTTCCCTGAGCCAACGACGAAAGAGTCAGAAAAACTCTTGCTGCTGCGAATTTTATCAACAAAACGGGAACACATCTTACACTTCAAATTATCGACAACGCTACGATCTGAGGGACTGCGCTCATAGCTCAGCCAAACAGAAGTTGAAAGCTCCCTATCATACTCGGCGATCCACTTGTCACAAGTGGTCGTCTTGACTCCTCTGGGCTTCTTTCCAAGAGGAGCACCCGCATCAGCGGTGCTTGGCTTTCTCTTGCCAGACGACATCACTAATGACTATGAGACAAAGGATTGAAGTGCCTTTTCTTTTTTGTACTTTGCAAAAAGGTGAGCGGACACTTTGTCCGGATATGTACAAAACATCCGGAAACTGACCGTAAACGGTCGGAAATTGTCCGATGTCCGACCGTTATTTCGCGCCCTGCCATACACACTTCACACAGTCACACACTCACAACATCATAGAATAGTAGAAAACTGCACTCTGCGGGGTTGTTGATTGGTCCGATCCATGGCAACGGTCATGTGGCCTACAAAAGCTAGTATAAACCAGGCACGGAAGACACTGATCGCACAGTGCATGATCCGTGCAGCTAGACAAGTGCAGTAAAGTATTGCGAGAGCGCCCCACCAACTCGTCCTTTCATGGTGGTGCTGTGGAGGTGGTGTCCTATCTGAAGGTCATATGACACGTGCCTTGTACACATATCGCACGCCATGCAGTCAATCCGTACTCGGTGTACCTTTGAGCTCCACACAAAAACACGCCAAGCATGACCTTACACTAAGATTCTCACACCGTACAAACTTCGTTGCACTCTGCCATACGATTTTCCTGTTCCTGGCTGTAAAATCAAGGTGGGGCGCTCTCGTGAGACGGGGCGCTCTTGCGCTACTCTACGGTACATCTCCCAGTTGTCCTATTCGTCGTGTTATTTCTCCTTCTCTGCTCACTTTCTCATATTCTCATCGTAACTGTACAGAAATGGAGACCCCCTCGATAGGCCTAAACGGCCTCTGGGGAATCCTTGAAATTAATTATACACATGTAACCATAGTGATCATACTGCTCATACCTAGCCGTCCAGCCGTGGACTCGGTGCTGCTCTCGTTGGGAGGTGGCTCGCTGAAGCTGCTCTGGGAGTGTGCCGCCGAGTCGGGTGTGATGGGTGGCAATGGAGACACGGACCGTACCGACGCTGCCTCCAGGGGATCGATGCTCAGCTGGCTGCGAGAGTGCTGCAGTGCGGCAAGGCGCAGTGAATGCACACAGCAAGCATGCACATGCACACACAAACACATACACACACACACACACACACACACACATACACCAGCAAGCACGAATGGGTTGAAACCGTCCCGGGACGTGAGCTCCATGCATGTGTGGGTCGTATTCTTGTAAGCGTTAACATCCACACAATTCCCTTGCACACACCACAGGACTAGTGATATAGCGAGCAGCACAGTGCCATAAAAACGGGGCCTACGCATAGTCTTCCTGCCATTTTGTTTTGTGGGGAAAGTCCCCTTCAGCCGCAGACGCTGTGATACCAGGGCCAGCATAAACGATCATGGACTGTGCACAGCCACCAGCCCTGCATAAACGGCTATGAACTGTGCACACCCACCAGCCCTTCATAAACGGTGATGAACTGTGCACAGCCATCAGCCCTGCATAAACGGCTATGAACTGTGCACAGCCACCAGCCCTGCATAAACGGCTATGAACTGTGCACACCCACCAGCCCTTCATAAACGGTGATGAACTGTGCACAGCCATCAGCCCTGCATAAACGGCTATGAACTGTGCACAGCCACCAGCCCTGCATAAACGGCTATGAACTGTGCACAGCCACCAGCCCTGCATAAACGATCATGAACTGTGCATAGTCATACTAACAAGTTCACTAGAGCTGGTTGGACCTGCCAAAACGGCACAAGTTGCCCACACACAAAGAGGCTGCAGTGGTGCATGATCTATCCACAAGGGCCATCCTCTGCAGCACAACGTACAATTTCTCTCTTTTTTTGGCAAAGTCAGCTGGGTGATTACATAATCAACATACTTTTTTCAAGTACAAAGAACAATGCACCCAATTCATAGGAACCCTTGCGTGCGCTGCTGCAAAGGATACAAAGTATTATCTTTTCAAATGGCCAACACCACCTCACTCTAGACTTTGGCGATAACTTCATAGGTAAGGGTATGCTCCCCACACTGGAGCTCGCACTTGGAGCTCGCACTTTTCCACCAACTTGACACTTTTAAAACTCAATCACGACTGCCATCGAAAAATACCGTGTATTGAGCAGGGAACTCAGATGGTGAGCCAAGGAAAAAATTGTAACATGGGAAATTGTGATCGCATAACTTGTGCCCACAATTTCCCATGTTACATTTGAGCAGGGAGTCATGCTTTCTTGAATGTTCGCGGGGTGGAAGATTCGATGGACTTCTCGTGTGCTCTGGATGGCAGTCATGAGTCAGTCGAGTATCAAGTGTCAAGTGTCAAGTCAAAGGGAACGCATGAGGTTTGTTATGGGGAGCTGCCAACTACCCTAGGAAGGATACGAAGTATTCTCTTTTCACAGTGCAACTTCACCTTCGCCTACAAAGTATCATCAGGGCGACACATGCCATACACTACAGAGGGTACAGAGGATACAACATATCATTGCTTCGACTGCAAAACTGCAAAACTGCATACCCTGCAAAGCACTAGTAGTACTATTACAGTCAGACCTCGCTTAATTAACCGCACACATCTGTTTTCCACAAAAATATCCGGATAGGCGAGGGAACCGGATAACTGAACGCACATACTGTATACGCACGTGGCATGTCAAAAGCAGTGACATCGTACATACATGTAGACGGGTCCTATGCAGTACAACTAGCGTGCACAGTATGTAAAACAAGCGAGAAAAATGACAAGTGTATGATACTGAGTGCTGTCCACATGCACCCAGCAGGTCAAGGACCTCATTTGCCTGTACAACTCCCTGATTCTAGCTTCTGCAAGCCACATATGCAACCGGATACGACGAAGCTTTTTTGTACAAATTTCAACCAGTTTGTACACAAAATCACGCACCGGTATGCGGATCGCGAGGTCCGGTTGTGTTGTATGCATAACATATGCTGCACATCGGTACCCAGCGATTTTCTTCCGGATGGCGAGGGATCCGGATAAACGAGGACCGGATAAGCGAGCTCTGAGTGTAGTACAGTCTGACCTCGCTTAATTAACCGCACACATCCGTTTTCCACAAAAAAAGATACGGATAGGCGAGGGAACCGGATAATCGAACACACATACTGCATGTATGCATGACATAATTATGCTGTAAATCTGTAACCAGCGATTTTCTTCCGGATGGCGAGGGATCCGGATAAAAGAGGGATCCGGATAAAAGAGGATCGGATAAGAAGCGAGGTCTGGCTATACTCTATTTTTCAGGGTGACCCACCGACTTGATCTAATTCCCACCCCCTGCCGAAAACCCAGCTGGGAAGCGACACACGGCGTGGGGAGGGGGGGGGGGGAGAGGGGGAATCAACGGTACTTCACGGCACAACAGTGCACACGGGTCACTACAAGCACAACATACCATAGGCGACTGATCCAGCTCTTCTACTTGACCCTCGTAGTCAAACCCGTCCACATCGTCCAGGTCAGGGGTGGGAGAAGACGGTAATCCAAGGTCGGCGCTTTCATTCGAGTCACGTTTCTTGCTGCTAGTGGCACCACCACCACTGCCTTGTCCGAAGCGCTTGACCTTCTTCCAGATCTTGAGCTTGCCTTTGCTGCTCTTGCCAGTGCTTTCTGAGCGGCTCAGACTACTGCCACTGGTGTCTGTAGGTGCACGGAAAAAATGAATAGTGCACACACGTGCACGCACATACACATGTACACACACGCACACATGCACGCACATACACATGCACACACACACACACACACCACACACACACACACAAAATGCAAACATGATGATTACAATGCACCATAAGTCAGTCCATAACACACACACACACACACACACACACACACACACACACACACACACACACACACACACACAAATACACGTGTGTGCGTGCGCACCCCCTCTCCGAACACACATGTGAACATCCCCCGCCTGTCGCGGTGCTGGCAACTCTCTGCTTTCATATACCGCTGTGGAGAAACTGTTCTCCACTAATGTCCGGTGCTTGCGCTGGATGTGCTTCTGCTGGCGCTTAGGAAATTATAACTTAGGTGTTGTGCACAATTTACAAGCACTTCAATCGGTTCACAAACAACAAGCATATTTCACTTGTTTTCCCTTCCCACCAAACTACCATTCACAGGAGCATGTGTGTGGTCAAGCACATTATTTCCAAAACCTGCCACAATTTTGAACCACACTGTCACAATGCAACACTACTAACATGTATTAATTTTGAATTTCAGATTCATTTTTTCTCGTTTTAGAGGGTGAACATTGCAACAGTTCTATTCTCATTTTCTCTGTCGAACACAACCGTTCACTCTAAAGCCAGAGCAAAAAGTAACACTGTGCTGTCCAACAAGCAAAGCACCTGATTCGGTGCGATATGATGCGCCGCCTTCAGACGTTGTGTCACCCGAGTCATTGTCAGCAGGCGTTGTGATCCGTCGCACATCTCCCAAGGATGCAGACAAACCAATACACTGCTCATTCCGGGCAATGGGAGATTGCTTGCGACGAAACGCGAAATCAATGGAGTTCTTTGACCCCTTTCCACTCATTTTTCATAATCATTGCAGCCAAATCTAGTAAACAATTCGATGCTTCGTCTTGAGATTTTCTGTTGAAGTATTATACTTTTGTAATTATTTCTCCCTTTGCCTTTGGCCATGCATGGAGCAAAGTCGCGGCTGCACGACAGCATCAGCATGCAGCACATGATCAGCACTCCAAGTCCAAGTCCAAGTCTTTTTTTGGATTTCGAGGACGCAGAAAAGAGGCAGGGTAGATCTACGCACAAGACAGGTGCGTTCGGCATTTGGGTGGGAAGACTGAACGTGGATCCATGGAGTCTGATTGGGTCGCAAGAGTACGACTACAACAAAAGTACAAGCATCAGATACCTAGCTGGCCTGGATACACCAGCACAAAAAAGGGAGCGGAGATGTATCGTCGACATCGTGTGCTTGATCTTGATGGATCGATAAAAATGTTCAAGTCATATGAAGGGCCAACGCCACACAAGAACAATGTGCTAGCTAGCTGCAATCACACGCAAATGCAGGACGTGCGTGTACCTGGTGTACGTGTGCAAGGCAAAAATAGAAAGCCTACAGTACAAAGAAGAATGCAATAAGTAAACAAAATTATGCATGTAACACTTTTGTGTTCGATCTCTTCTAAAAAAATATTCAATCTAGGAAATCAGAACCTAAACTGTTTTTGAAGGCGTGCCAATCAACACTAGGCAAGCCAACACTGGCAACAGTAACTGAGTTTATGAACTAATCAAGCAGCGCGGTGAGGACCTAGGACTACACACGAATAGTCACAGTGAGATCTACGCGATTCTACGGACCCCAGCAATGGTACTAGCATTGTGGCATTGAGATCAGAGACAAACTTACTGGGCGTGAGTCCGAGTGATTTTCTTGGCTGCCTAGCGGCCGATGCCTCCTCCTCTCGGTCCGTCATTCTCGGCAAAGGTTCGCGCCGGGGCTCATCAATTAATTTTTGGTATCCTATGGCAGTTTGTAAAAGCTGAAGCGCTGAAATCAGCCAGAGCTACACTGTAGCTAGCGAGCAAGTCGGCGATTACAGCTTCACTCGGTGTTACGCGTGACGGTGTGGCCATGGAGGGATGGGTGAGCAAGGCCCAGGTTGGTGAAGACCAAATCCCATCAAACTACGGAACGAGGCGTACGCGTGCTTTCTTCAAGACCACGCTGAAAAGCTCATTTTCTCGATAAGTCCATGCAAGTGCCAAGGTTACACACAAATTAATACAAATAGAGCCGATCGCGTTGTGGCCCGTCTACTTGTATCACTCCTAAACTAGCGAGCAGAGATTTCTTGCGTTGCATGCATGCGAGAGTGACAGGAAGAATTTTGCTCAATTTTCGGCACGGAGTGACACTTTCAAACCTGTACAGCGGATGAGGTATTGAGAACCACGATCATCCCGAGTTGAGATTTCACGCGGAAATACTCGTGCCATGGCATGAGCACCAACACCAGGCCATGCTGTGCCAGGCTGCAGGCCACACGGTGACGGACACACGTGCTGCCTGTCAGTGCCTGACGCCTACGCTAGTGCCCTACAAGTGTACGAAGAAGTACATAAACAACGAGGGCAGGCCCACACGCCGTGATCCGTTGCTCGATCGCTTGCCGAACCTTTCGGTGATACGGCCAATACAATGTCAATGCATTTAAAAAAATATTTTGGCTAACCTGCGCGCTGGCCTGGTGGTCTTGGTGCCTCGCCCCGCGTCTCTTCGCTGGGACTGGTATAATGACTACCTTATCATGATCATGATGATTGTGCAGACCCAAACTCCAAAAGCAGGCTGGCAGCGATAGCTTGCGTTGGAAGCCCTGCAAGGTGACCGGTCCACCACGGCAAGTTCACGAGATCGAAACTCACAAGCAAGTGAACGATAGGAAGTACTAAAAGTAAACAGTTTGACAGTAACTGTTGCTTGTTCAGAGCTTGCCTTCACTTCAGAGTCAGACATATCAGTAGTACAGACTGCGCAGATTGAGTAGTACAGACTGAATGGACTTGCCACTACTGCACTAGGTACTGTAGATCTACTAGTGCTAGGTGGGGATAGGATGTCGCGTGAGATGGAGCAGCAGTCGCAGCCAGGCAGTAGAACGATACCGGTATGTGTAGGTGCAGGTAGAGTCTACTGGTCTACGCGGTATGGCCACGAGTCCCACGACTCTATGGCCGGGGGGCCGGGATATGAGTCTATGACAATCGTGACTTTTTATTATTAGGCCAAACTAAAGAAGGTGTGTGGTTCGACTCACCCGACCGACCGTACATTTTTCACCCCGACCGTAACTTTTTTTCGGCGGGCTGTCGTGTGACTGACGTACGTGGACTGAACACGTCCACGTCTACGTGCTGTGCAGCGTGAGTACACTAGTACACTGCGGACGCAGGCGGCTCCTTTTGGACTTGACTTGTAGTTGTACTGCAGTGCAGTGCAGTGAGTGGTACGACTGCTGCCTTGTGCTGGTAGACTACCAGCACAAGGCAGCAGTCGTACCACTGTGGTAGTAGAGTCTACTCGATACGACCACCGGCAGACTGGCGAGACTAATTTTTGAAGTGACCGTCCGGTTGAGAGTGATTGCCTCGTTCCAGATTAAGGACGGCCTTCTGTTTTGGGATGAAGGACAGACGAGATTGCACTTTCCTCGTGTATTGGGAACGATATTTCACCTGTACCGGTAAGTTAGTTGCTGCTCCATGTGTGCAAGCACAGGAAGCGTCGATGGAAAAAGCCCATGTATTCGTGCACGCCGACACCAAACTAGCAATACATGTACCGGTACATTGTACAATTTGTACTTCGAAGTAGTTCCCGAACTTACTTTCAACTCGCATCGTTCTTCATTTGCTTGATGATTTGGACAGTCAGAGTCACCGCTTGAAGTTATTCTCTTCTCGTTCCAGAGCTACACAATGTTTCAAAGTATTAGCCAGTGATCCCTTTATACAACATGTATGGCATAACACTGCGTAATAATGCCGATGTACTGGGTGTCTAAAGGCAGTACAGTGTATTTACATGTACTAAAAAATATATTTAAAAAAAAAATCCGCCCGCCCGCCCGTAAAAAAAATGTCCATGTTAGTCGAACCACACACCTTCTTTAGTTTGGCCTTATTATTAAAATATCATTATTTGATAACCGCAATCAATAAAACTAGCTGAACCGACATTTGTGTACTTTATTCATGCAATGTAAAAACGGTGGAGACGATGTGCAATAAAACGATGAAACTATGAAGAACTCACTCAGTCTCCCACGCGCTGCCTCCACCCTATTCACTAGATCCCCGATCTTTGCTGGCTATGTGTTTTGGGCAACATTACCAACGCAGGCCAAGACCAGCACGTCGATGGATAATTTTGTTGCTAAAATCTCTGCTCAATTATAGGTTTCATGTATATCCTGCTGGTTTGTCTCCTCCTTTGCCTTCTTTGCCTCTTATTTGTATTCTTTTATCTGTTTTACTGCTGTGGTTGGCTTTCACCCTTGTCTCAGTTTTATTGGCCGTCATCATGATGTGCCATGAGATAATGATATAAATACAAAATACAAATACAAATGGTGTAGGGAAAAAAAAATAATTATTATGGATTCAAACAAGTTTTCGTACAACACTCATCAGGAATTGTCGTTGTACTAAAGGACACTGAACCAAAAATTGAACTATTATAGAAAATCTAAGTTAGAGAAATAACACTAAGAGCAACAACAGTGAAATTTACAAGTGTGAATTTTAACAATCAAAGCGAGAAATGAACAAAGGAGAAAGGAAGGAAAGACAACGTGATAACACATAACAGCAGTACATTACACCTAGAACATTAACGGCCAAGCTTGGCCGCAGTAAACACGACACGTTACTTGAACAATTTCAACCCAATTATACTATCTTTCTGTACACACAAATTAGGCTTGTACAGACGCTGATAGATAGCTCAAGTTCCAACACTTAGTCCATAACCATGACGACCACGGCACAATACAGTGAATGAAGAGTCGGAATACGAATTGCAACAATCAGGACTAGCTAGCAGATGATTGTACACTGAAGACTTGCTACCACGAAACCTACGCACAACACTAACACTCTCACCGGCATTCTCACCATCACTCCCATCACTGCTCTCGAGTGAGTCGGAGAGCAGTGATGGGAGTGATGGTGAGAATGCCGGTGAGAGTGTTAGTGTTGTGCGTAGGTTTCGTGGTAGCAAGTCTTCAGTGTACAATCATCTGCTAGCTAGTCCTGATTGTTGCAATTCGTATTCCGACTCTTCGTTCACTGTATTGTGCCGTGGTCGTCATGGTTATGGACTAAGTGTTGGAAGCTATCTATCAGCGTCTGTACAAGCCTAATTTGTGTATACAGAAAGATAGTATAATTGGGTTGAAATTGTTCAAGTAACGTGTCGTGTTTACTGCGGCCAAGCTTGGCCGTTAATGTTCTAGGTGTAATGTACTGCTGTTATGTGTTATCACGTTGTCTTTCCTTCCTTTCTCCTTTGTTCATTTCTCGCTTTGATTGTTAAAATTCACACTTGTAAATTTCACTGTTGTTGCTCTTAGTGTTATTTCTCTAACTTAGATTTTCTATAATAGTTCAATTTTTGTTTCAGTGTCCTTTAGTACAACGACAATTCCTGATGAGTGTTGTACGAAAACTTGTTTGAATCCATATTTTTTTCCCTACACCATTTCTTCATAGTTTCATCGTTTTATTGCACATCGTCTCCACCGTTTTTACATTGCATGAATAAAGTACACAAATGTCGGTTCAGAACTAAATATTGCGACAGAGCTTTCGGCCATATTTTCAATTCATTGCATTCCCAACTCATCACAACCACGCGCTCTTCAGCCGAACCATACAGACACCAGCAAGGACACTTCCGTTGAGAGATAATATTGCTCCACGCCTCTAGACAGCTGTTTCGCTCCCTGTCGGAGCTCATCAGTAGAGGATGATAATGATGATAATGGAGGAATGATCATTCTTATACACCAGAAATGGCGCAAGTGCGCGCTTTCCACATAATATCAATGGCATATGCAAGCTGCTAAAATGGTAAAGTGTGAGAACAGCGATAAATAATCATAGTACGCGCTCATTGGTGGAGAAACACACCACACAAGCGACGAAAATCTTACTCGGATTACTGATGCCAATGGAAAGTACATGTAAATTGTTTATTAATATTATTATGATGTTGCAATGTCCATGTATGCAGGCGAGGCGAGACTCACCGCCGAGATCCCCCAACGCGACAGGCTCGGTTGCCGTTCAGGATTCACACCGACCTGTCCGCCCGTCAACAGGATCGACAGCGGGAGGCCCCACTGATGCCGATGTCGATGCACACCAGGAAACTTGTAGTCGTGAGTGTGATACTAACAGGTCTAGTAGCAACCACTTGGGGCATTCACTCCAGTCAGGGATGCTTGGTCGACGCTTCGTATCAGCAGCTCAGCTGAGTTTGATCACACTCAGTATCACACTCACGACTACAAGTTTCCTGGTGTGCATCGACATCGGCATCAGTGGGGCCTCCCGCTGTCGATCCTGTTGACGGGCGGACAGGTCGGTGTGAATCCTGAACGGCAACCGAGCCTGTCGCGTTGGGGGATCTCGGCGGTGAGTCTCGCCTCGCCTGCATACATGGACATTGCAACATCATAATAATAAACAATTTACATGTACTTTCCATTGGCATCAGTAATCCGAGTAAGATTTTCGTCGCTTGTGTGGTGTGTTTCTCCACCAATGAGCGCGTACTATGATTATTTATCGCTGTTCTCACACTTTACCATTTTAGCAGCTTGCATATGCCATTGATATTATGTGGAAAGCGCGCACTTGCGCCATTTCTGGTGTATAAGAATGATCATTCCTCCATTATCATCATTATCATCCTCTACTGATGAGCTCCGACAGGGAGCGAAACAGCTGTCTAGAGGCGTGGAGCAATATTATCTCTCAACGGAAGTGTCCTTGCTGGTGTCTGTATGGTTCGGCTGAAGAGCGCGTGGTTGTGATGAGTTGGGAATGCAATGAATTGAACATATGGCCGAAAGCTCTGTCGCAATATTTAGTTCTGAAGTTTTAATGCGCCGTTAGTGGCAGAGCAGAGTGGACACGAAGAGTCGGTGAAGAAAGAAGGAGAGATGACAAGACGAGTCGGTGAAGAAGGAAGGAGGAAAGCAAGACACATCTGCAACATCTTTGATCAAACTGAGCTGAGCTGCTGATACGAAGCGTCGACCAAGCATCCCTGACTGGAGTGAATGCCCCAGCTGGCCTCTCGTTTGTCAGTGGTTGCTACTAGACCTGTTAGTATCACACTCACGACTACAAGTTTCCTGGTGTGCATCGACATCGG